GGCCACAGCATAAAAAAAAAATAAAAAAAAATAAATGCGACTTTCTTGCAATTCTGACATTTTTTTCTCAAGTGCATGACAAACTCACAATTGTGAGAAAAACGTCAGAATTGCACGTTTATATCTATACTAAATATAAATTTCATTCAAGTTTAAATCAGACTTTTTTCCTCGCAATTTCAAGTTTATATCTCGCAATTCTGAGACGGAAAAAAAAGAAAAAAAGTCACTGACCTTTTTTTTTTTTTTTCAGTGGCAGAAACAGGCTTCCATAAATTTCAGACTAATTAATGATTATAATTGTTCTGAATAAAAATCGTAGATGGGTTGAATGACAATACAAATCGACTGACAGTAAGTGGCACTTGTGGAGTGCAAAAATACAGATATAAACACTATTAGTCTTTATCCATCATACAGAGGTAAAATAAAAAGAAAATTGAACTATTCATCTATATCAATGCCATAACAAATTTCTCCGAATGTTTGCAGAGACTCTTACCTCCTTGATCGGGAGAAAGATCGCGAGAGCCTGTGGTTCCTGTCGTGAGACAGCGATCTCTCCCTCCGCCGCTCTCTGGAAAGAGATCTAGACAGAGTCCAGAACAACATGATGTTGAGAAAGCGCTCACAAAGCCACGCGGGAAAGCTGCGAGAACAGACGGACTCTTACCTGCTGCGACTACGACTGATGCTCCTCTTCCTGGGCGATCTGAAGAAGAGAAGAGGCAAAGCGAGTGAGCGCGCAATCGACACACGGACGCACCTCACAAGCCCTGCAACTAACAGTCAAACGCACTCGTCACCGCCCTGATACAGGGGTGGAGTGGAGACCTCGCAACACATGCGGCTTCGGAGAACCTCCCTTAATAAGAGCGTTACGCTCCAGTACAGAGAGCTACAAAAGTAGTGCCCTAGCAGGAGAAACTCAACAGAAACGCACTGCAAACAACCCCACAGAATGAAGACAGTGAAAGAAAGCAAGAGCAGCTCTCAAAGCCCACGCTGCTTCTGTAACCTGAACCTCCGTTTGGGCTCCCCATCAGTCTGCTTGCCTAAGCTTAACAACGTCTGTCCAGAACTCATACCAACCCTGTTTGTTTCAACTCAA